CTTTCAAGGTATGTTCCATGATCACCATCTCTATGCGCAACCATACTTTATAACCATAAGTGATCTAGGGATTTTATCTTAAGTGCAATTATAAGATAAATGCTTTCTCTTAAGATAAAGAAATGCCTTATTCATAATATAATTCCAATAGACTGTATTTACAAGTAGAATACGTCCAATTAGATTGGAACACCGGGTACCCTACTCTAACACACATATCCTACCCCTGTCATTAATCTTTGGATAGAGTTACTCTTTCTTCTTTCTGTTGTGTACGCATGAAATAAACGAGTATTTTTATCCCCATCTTTAAACTATAATGCTCTAGACTTCATCCTCCAAAACTGCTCTTCCTCTTTATGGGCATTATCTAGTTCAACTTTGGTGGTTCCCCATTTTGCCCAGTTTGTGTCTCCTCCTTCAGCTCTCAACCCTTCCATTTTTGATGTCAGCACCTGAATCAGTTTCTCATTATACCTACTAATGGGTTTATACCAAGCCAGTAAAGCCATTCTTGTATTCTTCACCCTCTGGTGCACCTTAAGCATCTCTGAGCCTTCAATATCCCCCATCCATCCTTTTTCAACAGCTACAATAATACCTTCTGGTTTAAGCCAATTATTGTCAAACATGAATCTCTTTCTAGCTGTTACCATCGCCACTTCAGTATCAAAAAGGAGGACATTGTGATCAGATGCACATCTATAGAAATTTGACACCTCCATTTTAGGGTACTTAAGCAGCCAATCCATGGATGTGTACACTTTATCCAGCCTCTCCTCAACATATCCATCTCCCCTTCTGTTGTTCCCCCAGGTAAAAAAAGCACCTTTCTGATCCTCCTTTTGCCTTTCCATCCTCATAATGAACTATCTAAAGGTCAAACAACTGTGTTCAGATGTAGGTAGACCTCCTCTTTTCTCCTTATTACTCACTATGTCATTCCAATCTCTTGCTATGGCCCAACAACATCCCCAAGTTCTCTTCCTGTCATATAAGAACTGCCATTGTTGCTCTCTTTGATGCCTGTCAGTACTCAGATATACAAAAATCAACCAACACCAATCAATAAGGCCAGGGCCTCTAGCTTCTATTTGGAGGCAAAAATTATTTCCAATAATTTGCTTGATTTTCATAGACTGATCTCACATGAGAAGAAGGCCACCTCTGGTACCTGCAGGTTCTTTCAAATGCCATATATTCTGGAACACCAGTTTTGTACAAACAGTTCTAGTAATTTTTTTTTTCTTTTTTTTTTTTGTTTTAGATAGGACAATAAGATGTGGGTGGTGGATTTTTCTTGAATCCTTGATTTGGGAAACTATAGAGGGCCCACCCATCCCTCTACAGTTTCACATCATTGAATTCATTGATGTGGGTAGTCTTTCTTGTTAAAGTTTGCTTCTTGCTTTTATTTTAGTTTAAAGTTGCGATCTTTAGCTTAATTCAACCCTTAAAAATTGGCATTAGAGTATTTTAAGACATGTATTTTTCGTTTTTTGTGAGTCAATCGTTGCTTAAATCCGTGTCCGAACAACCTTCCTTTGAGAGACGACCTGAGGTTGGTCTTTAAGATCGTACTCGGCAAAAACACTACAAACAGTGACTTAGGAGCCTCCCCTAAGGTAGGAGCAAGAAATTCCCAAGAACGAGGAAGCTCGCATTGATGAATGAAGTATGCCATTTACTCGTCATTATAAGATAATAAGAGGTTAGGCTTGACGAGCTACACCACGTTGGGAACCACTTTGGCCCTCTTACCCTTGATAATAGTAATCGATTATCGTTTCTTTTCTATATCAACGTGATTAAGGGTTACTCCCTCAGGATGGGGGTGGGGTGGGGGTGAGAGAGAGAGAAGACATTCGACTTAAGCAAGACGCTCGATCTATTCAGGGTAGCTATCTACAATATTCTTGAGCTCGGCCCAGGGGACCTCACTGTTTGGCTCGTCTACTAGACGTTAGGGTGACCTAGTGGCTAGAGTTGCAGGGTTAGAGGTCAAATTAGAGCTCTAAGAAATAAAATTAAGGCCGGTCCGAGATGAATTGAAAGATTGGCCGGAATTCGATGTTTTCATTGAACTTGAAAGGTTTATAGTACTATACGTATTGTATTATAAACCTTTCAAGTTCAATGAAAACGTTGAATTCCGACCAATCTTTCAATTCATCTAGGACCGGCCTTAATTTTATTTCTTAGACCAATCTTTCAGTTTTCAGAACCTTGGTTTTATGAAGAAATATGCGAGTTTCATTTTTTATTTTTAATTATTTCTTTTTTTGCAAAATCATCAATAAATGTAAAAGCAAAAAATGACGATACTTATTTTATTGAATGGAATTTGTCATGTTAGATAAAAAAATGACGACACGTGATATATTCTGATGTATCGTCACAATGCATATTCCAATAATGACTATTTTTCGGAAGCTTCATTTTAAATACAAACAAAATTAACGACATTTATTTTGTTGCATTGCATGTCGTCACAAGATGTATTAGTGTGACGAATTTATATGTATTGTAATGTATCGTCACAATACAAAATTATATAATGATGATTCTCAAAAGCGTCATTGTAGTTACCAAAACAAACGACGACATGTATTTTTTCGTAGTAAAATTCATCATAATATGTATTAATATGACGAATAAAGATGTATTTAATGTATCGTCACAAGACACAAGCACATAATGACGACTTACTCGTAAACGTCATTTTAACTACTAGCAAAAATGACGACACAAAAATTTGTTGCATTGTATTTCATCATAAAAAGTATTACTATGACGAATTTAGATGTATTGCAATTTATCGTCACAAGACACAATTATATAATGACGAATCACCCGAAAGCGTCATTTTAAATATCATAAAAAATGACGACAATATTTTTGTCCCATTGCATTTCGTCATACTATGTATTACAATGACGAATTTGAATGTATTGTAATGTATCATCACAATACAAAATTATATTATGACGCTTTATTGAAAAACGTCATCTTACAAACCATTAACAACGACGATATTTATTTTGTCACATGGAATTTCGTCACATTTTATATAAAGATGACGAATTTCGATGTATTGTCATATAAATTATGATTATGTGATGAAAAACAAATTCGATTATGAACCAAGTAGTAGTCGTCGCAGTATACAATGATGTAGTGACAAATTGTCAAACTCGTCACCATAATACAATCAAAGGTGACGATTTTTTTTTTTTTTTTTTTTTNCGAATTTCGTCATGATACATGTAATTTCTTGTAGTGTATACACTGAACAAAAGAAGAAGAGAAACACATTATGCCCTAAACGAGTAAAAACAGAAATGCAAGTATAGAGTTTGAGGACAAGAAATTACATACTCGTGATATTGGTGTGGAGTGGATAGATGTGCAGATGCTGAATTTGTGGGGAGGATGCTGAAATTTCTGCAGTTGCCGGAAAAGCTCTGAAGATAGATTTTTGAAAGTGAGATCGCGAAAGTTGGAAATGGTGTGAATGATATCCTTTCATAGTCGTTGAAGGGAACGATCTCAGAGGTCGGCCTTGGAGGACCGTGGACCTGGCGAGGGATCAACTGTCCTAGAAGAAAGTGAATTATTTAGGATTTTGAGGTGTTTCAGATGCTCACGATTCCAAAAGTCGGCTGACAGTATACATATATTGCTGAAAAGACAGGTTGTCACAGAAGGATATAGTGTTCCCAAACAAGTCTTGTAGCTCGTTAAGGAATAGGGGGCTAGATAATATAGCACTCATACTAGCTCGGTGGACCAGTCAATGTGGTTAGCTCGTTTTTAACTAGTCCAAGATAATTTTTCCACCGACAATGGGGTTTGACCCTATAAAGGAACTCTTAATGACAACTCGAGGTACATGTCAACTTTTGTTATGAGCTAGTTGTTAGTGTTATATACTAAAAGCTTGGCTTTGCATGTTATTACACATTATCCCTTTATGAATGAGAATCATGTTAGATTAAACAAGTTCTACGTTCTGTTGTTCTGCACTCAGATAGAGTGGGTCGTTATCGGGTGAACCGAAGATCACTCTATCAGTTACTTGCGAACAACAATAGTTGTTCACCCCATCCGAACAGTTGTAGTGTCAACTGTACAATTTGTCTTAACTGATTAGTTGCACTAGTACAATTATGTATTGAACAGGATCCCAGAGAGGAGAAGTTCATTTTATACTGATCGTCATAAATGAACAAGGCCTCAGTTAATTATTGTGTTCTCTTAACCCGTAAGATATTAAACAGGCAGATATATATAGTATATATTACTTTGATTTACTTGGGTGAGGTTCAGTTCGCTGGATCAATATTCCTACTGTTTGGGTAATATTATTATATATAGGATGTGTTGTTAGGATATTTACGGTCACCATGTGTGTTAGTTTGATGATGTTCCCGGAGTGAGTTCATGAAGGATTGTTATGCTAAACCCTGCAGGTGGGTTAAATTTCAGCATAATAAGCATGTGATGAACGAGCGCTAGCTTCGGTGAAATAATAATAAATAATTAATTCTTGATTGTCAGTAATTAAATTAATTAATGGACATTATATCTTAAACGTGGGGAGATAAATCGAGTAATTATTATTGGAGTCTCAAATGTAATTTGAGCAAGGAAAAGGGAGTGCAATAATATAATGTCGGTGGCCCATTATTATTATTTAATTAATTAGAGGAGTGGGCTTGGCACACAGTTAGTCTAATTATTTAAGGAGCCCTATTCCTAATCTTCTAAGGGTCCCTACTGTAGCTCTATATATACATCATTAAGCTCATGAGAAAAGAACCCATATCATTATTCATGTGAAACACGCCTCACACGCCTCTCTCTCTCTCTGGATCTCATTCAAGTTTTATCTTCTTCTTGTTGCTCCACTGGTACAAGTTGAAGAGGGGTGTATTGAGTAATATAGTAGAAGATCCATAGGTTATCGAGACCCGTGATCATCTACAAGAAGTTGATGAACCACGACCCGAAGGCCGAGATCCGTCAACACGACCAGCCATCCGACGCCGTGAGCCCGGCGTGCCGCCGTACACGAGCCACACGATCGCCGAGTAAACACGGTCGCGTCCACGACTCGCGACATGAACTCCGGCAGCCGCGTGACTCGATCGACCCAAGCTCGACATCACATGACCCGATTCACGCGAGCCCGAGACTTCCGTTCATGTGATCTGATTTATTCGTGTGTTGTGTACGGCCATCCGGAAGATCAGCCAGATCGCCAAAAATTTTAAGTTGTAAGTTCTCTACGTCAAACCTTTAGATCCGCTGCGCATAGGTTTACGTTTGCTATTGAAATCGTGAGTTGTACATAACGAGATCCTCACAGATCCCAACACTAGTAAGCTGGGCTCATCCACAAGCTTGGTCAAATGAGGGGTTAGCACGACCTAGAGGTCATGTCTGAGTACTTATAAGTGACTTGGTAAGGAGTTGGGTTATAGAGTCGTGAGGTATGTGCGACAACCTAGTGATCTACTGAAGTTTAGTCAATAAAGTAACAAAGTCCTATAGGATGGTAAGTATATCATACTAGGAAACGAGATAAATCAAGATTTCTTTCCTAGTAGTGAGATTACTTAAGTAGGAAGACAACCTCCTTATAAAAGGAGGTTACTAGGCTATGTTACAATTTGACGTATAGTACACATTATAGTTCAGTTTTATAGAATTTACGAGCGAGATTTAATTTGAGCGTCGGAGGACTTACCGCCGGAACCCCTCCCGACGTATTTTGCCGGTCATTGAAGTTTAAGTTGAAGGAAGATTCGTGAGGCTGCCGAACTACAAGCTTGGAGTTAATCACATAAAAAATAAATAAATAAATAACATGAGAATGAAAACGTTTGCAAACTTGTGAGATATTGCGCCTATAGAGCCGACCAGTTCCTTACCAATGGCTCCCTTTTAGAAAGTGCTGTATCAAACTTATGCTTGGAAGGAAAATGAAATTTGGATTATGGAAAATGTAAAGAGCACAAAACGTCAATTGTATTGAGTGGTCCCCTGGAAATGGACACAGAACCTTAATAGTGGCTTTGCACAACTTGTTAGTGTCCAACAATTTAGAGCCTCACAAGTCCAATAGAACCAA